CAACACTGGATTGAAACTTGAAAGTTAATGAATCCGCACTTTCGACTGTGTGTGGGTCCCACACAAATAATGGTGGAAATTCATTCTACCTTTATTTCGATTTTAAATTTGCGGGCATGCATCAATGCCTTAATTTTTATTTTAAATAATGATAAATATGATTAAAATTTGAAGTTAAAATTTAAAATTAATAATATAATTTATATTATATTATTTAAAATATTAAAAAATAAATTATATATTATTTAATAATTAATTCTTTTTATATTTTTAAAATCTATTATATTATCCGTATAAATTAATTTAATAATATAACTTATAATATATTATTAATCTTAAATTTTCATCTTTCCCGTCATTACTTTTACTTTTTAAGATTTCATTGTTTTATAACTTAGGTTGTTTTAAATTGTAAAATATAAATTTTTAGATAGAGAGTCTCTTTAATGTCAAAAGGCTTTTCCACATTTAAAATTTAGTATTTTATAGTTTAAAATAATTTAAATTGTTAAATATTTTTTTTGATATTTTAATGAAAAAGGGTTTTTAGTTTAAGTATGATAAAAGAAGTGAGGGAAATTATACATCTTTTACCGTATGTTTGAATTGAGAGGAATAGAAAGAAGAAAAAGAAAAGGGAAGGAAAATCTTTTATTTAGATAAATAACTATTATACCCTAAATTAAGTCCTATGAGAATTAAGACACGTGAAAATATCCTAAAAATAGTCCTATCAAGATTAAATAGGTTAAATCCTACTAGAATTAGAATACTCAAACACCAATCAAATAAAGTTGTACTACTAGGATAACTTTATGTAAGTGTCCTATAAATACTTCAAGGATCAACCTAAAAAGACAGATTATTTTTCCATAGCTATTCTCTCTTTATTGTAAACTCTCTCTATCAATAAAGATCTTGGTTCCACACCATCTATTCTATTTTTTTAGTGTTAACATTTGGCGCCCACCGTGAGGCCAAGTTCTTTTTGATCTACGAATGCCACATGATGAATCTTGCCAACAAAAATTCGTTATTGCCGTACATGGATGCTCCAAGATTTGAAAACAATAAAGAAACAAATGGCTTTTCTTCCTCTCAGATGAATTTCGAAGAAAGGCTTAAGCAAGATATGGTTTAAAACAAGTGCACCAGAAACAAGAGGAGTCACGGAGGATTACACCACCTTCAACTAAGCAGGCTCACAGCTTTTTTGGGAAACGCAAGATTCAATGCTAGGAAGTAGTAATTATGATGATCAAAGCTATACACACTCAACACAGAAAGCTGCGATCTAAGCTAAGTATATTTACTTTTTTATTTTCTAATTTTCAATCTTAATAATCATGTAAGTTACTGTATTTTTAAGAAAACTAACCTTTTTCTGAAGAAACTTTTTGGAGAAGGCCACATAGGCCAAAGAGCTCCAAGCGTAGGAATGCATTTACAGGATGCACAAGTCTAACAAGAGTTATGAGACAGAAAGTCACCAAGCAATACGAGAGCACCAAATTGCATACAACACAGAAGAATATCAATCTTATGTAATGCCGCCAACTAAGAAGGTCCATACCTCAGCAAAGAAAACTTGGGAAACAAAGCTTTCAAAGCGCAATTATCCCAATGGAACCTTAGTTCCAAGGACCTAAAATGTTGCACACCTTAAAAGCAAAGATTCATTTCACATTGCTAAAAACCACTTTTAAGTGGAACACAACTTTAAGAATAAGATCTTGGTTGTACACATCTTTGCTCACTTCTATGCAACAGATCACTTTAGCATCACTTTTAAGTGATCCAAAGCCTTAAACACCAAAGATGGTGAAAAGAATATGAATGCGTGAAACTATGGAGTTGTTCTTAAAGCTCTGAAATTCGAATAAGGTTAGTTAACTTAAAATTCTGAGAAAAACTAACCAAAATATGCTTAAGCAAACTAAAGCTAGGAGCAAGTTTGGGTGTACATAAATATCCAGGCAAAAGTTATGCAAGCGAAAGCTGTGAGCAAGTTTGGGTGTACATAAATACCCAGGAAAAAGTTACGCAAGCAAAAGCTACGACCAAGTTAGGGTGTACATAAATACTCGGGCAAAAACTATGCCAACGAAAATTGCGAGCAACTTAGGGTGTACATAAATACCTAGGCAAAAGTTATGCCAACAAAAGTTGCGAGCAAGTTTGGGTGTGCATAAATACTCGAGCAAAAGTTACGCAAATGAAAGCCACAAGTAAGTTTGGGTGTACATATAGGCAAAATATACACAAGTGAAAGCTGCGAGTAAGTTTGGATGTACATAAATACTCAGGTAAAAGTTATGCAAGAAAGGCTATATTAAAAGCTATGGGCAAGTTAAGGTGTATATAAACACTTGGGCAAAAGCTACGCGAGCAAGGCTACAAAGGTTCAACAAGAGGTCCAAAAAGCTAAAGAAGGATACCTTGAGAACCTCCACATCAATAGAATTACTCCTACTATGAATAGTTGTAGCAAAATCCTCTGCGTCCCAAAAGGTGCTCAATCTTTCCTTTACTTCAACCAAAGATCTACCTAGAGGAACACACGATGGACCTTAATCATAAACTTTCTTCAACTTTGGATCAGCTTAAACCTCCAACAAAACAGAAAAATCGCAAAGTAGAAGAAAGAAAGCAAGAATAGGGGAAGAAAAGAAGGAAGAAAAATCAGAGAAGAAACCGAGAAACAAAGGTGCAGCAAATGACCAGTACAAACTCACAAATAAAAGGCAAACATGTGTCAAAAAGCCTGCAAGGAAAATGACTACACCAACAAAGAAATGACTACACTATTAAAGAAACCTTTAAGAAAATACAAATAAAGAAATTAGGATACCTAGCAGCATATGGAAGATTGACAGAAAGCATATCAAAAGTTGTGAAAATAACAGAAAACTTGTGCTGTACTCTTTTTTCCTTAAGCTAATTTTTTATCCCATAGGGTTTTTATTAGGTAAGGTTTTTAATGAGACAACCATGGTCGCAAAATCTTTGTCATAAAAAGATGGAACCTCTTAAAGGCAAAAATATGAAAAAGCTATGCACAATTTGGAGTCAAGTTACAAATAGCAAAGCCAACGTGAAGATGAGACTAAACAAGTTTTTGCTACCCTCAAACTTCTTCATTGGGGGGCAAATGTTATATCCTAAATTGAGTCATATGAGAATTAGGACATGTGGAGACATCCTAAAAATAGCCCTATCAAGATTAGACAGGTTAAATCCTACTAGAATTAAAATACCCAAACACCAATCAAATAGAGTTGTACTTCTAGGATAACTTTATCTAAATATCTTATAAATACCTCAAGGATCAATCTAAGGAGACAGATTATTTTTCCATAACCATTCTCTCTTCATTGTAAATTCTTTCTATTAATAAAAATCTTGGTTCCACACCATCTATTCTATTTTTCTAGTGTTAACAATAACTAAATTAAATGAAAGAATAAAATAAAAAAATTTCTCATCTCCTTCTCTCTAATTTTTTTTGATAATTAAATAAAAAAAATTTTTCTCCTCCCTTTTCTCCCCTTCAATTTCTCTCTACTTAAATTGGTTGAGAAAAATTCCCTATACATGTGGACAAGTGGCAAAAAGAAAAAGAAAATTCCTTCTGTGGGTGTACATCTGGGTTGCAACTTTGAAGTTAAAGTTTCAACCCCAGCTTTGTACGTATCAAAAAGGAAAGAAAAAGCATAAATTATTGAGTAGCCTTTGTAGAATCCGATCACATATACACCGAAGGTAAAATTTATTTATATATAATTTTTACATATATTACTTATATTAAATTTTAATAATTTATTTTTATTATAAATGATTAAAATTTATTTATTTTTTATTTTATTTTTTAAAAAATAATTATTTTTTATCTAAAAAATTATAATAAATTTTGATCATGATTATTTATTTATTTATTATAAATAATTAAGATTTATCTATTTTTTATCTTTTAAAAAAAATTAATAGTCTTTTAATAAAGTCATGATAAATTAAAATATTTATAAAAAAAATATGATCAAAATTTTATATGAGTGATATATATAAGAGAGTTATATGTAAATGATGCTAACTCTATATCCTAAATGTAAAAGATGGTATACAAGAGACGAGAGTCCACACAATTTCAAATTAATTAGTTTTGGAGTTATAGTATATTTTATTTCTATATAATTGTATTATTATTCAAAAAAATTAACTCTCTTTAGTGGGCTCCCTTCCCTAATTGTGGGATGTCTATCCCATATCATACCTGTCTTATGAGTTAAGTGATGTATATAAAATTTTTTGTAATTCTAAACTAATTATTTTTTGAGTTGTAGTGTGTTCATTATACCATTTTAGTTTTTGAGTTGTAGTGTGTTCATTATACCATTTTAGTTAAAAAAAAGGGGAGGGGGAGGGGGAGGGGGAGGGGTGGCGGTGGTGAAAGATGGTTTCCCACCAAAACCCAAGAACTTTTTCTACTCGCTTTTTTCCTTTTGTCTTTGAATAATGTACTGATTTAAAAAGCAAAGGAGCCGACTAGGATTAGGGTGCTTGGTGAGACAATGGGGAAATATGTGAGGAAAAGTATATGTAAAGGTGATCCCTTCATACACCAAGTCTACTTGGAAATCCATTATTTCTCTGCTAGCAAACAAATGCATCACGTGGCACTTGGAGTCAAATACAACCTCTTTTCCATCACTTTCCCTAGAAAATTTACAACTTTCTTTTGACATTCCTTGGTTCCCACTAACATTTTAATGCTGACTGTAAATTCTATGCGGGTGTTTGGTTGGGAGCAAGTTTTACCCTTAAATTTTTTAAAATATTTTTTATAAGGTTATTTGTATATTTTTATATATTAATATTATAATAAAATAAAAATAAAAGTAACATTTTGAGTATTTATTTTTTTTAATATAATTCTTAACCCATAAAATTATTTTCTTATTTCAAAAGAAGAAAATTTTTCTATAACTTTTCTTATATTAAAT